ACAACTCTAGCAATCATTCGTACATTAATACTGGAGATTGATTAAAATAATTGAACTATGCTTTTATCAAATTACATCAAGTCAAAACAAATAGTTAACAATTCTTTAATTATTTCAATATTTCAAATAATGTTGATAATAATTTGATGGTTAGTGATTGTTCAGTTTCTTCGATTAATAAAAAAAAAACTGATTCTGGTGTCGGCATCGCGCGGAGATATGGATTCCAATTGATAGTAACTAATATATTTAACACAAATAACATATTCGACGATGAAGAGTCTTCTATTTGAATTAGAATATTTTCATTTCTTTTTTTTATAATCTCGAAGATATGGGCTTGGTGCTGGGAAAAGGAATGAGATTGACAAAAAATTCTTCGCAAAAAATTATTTATCTCGCAAACTATCGATCAGAATTATGATTTTTAGTAATGATACTAAAATCATGTAATTCGATCGATAAACAATTTTGGAGGAAATTATTTTTTGGTCAGATTCGTCCCTTTACCAGCAAACCCACATGTATAGGTGATGCTATAGCACCTTGTATTATTCTTCACTAATTACTGAATTAAAATTAATGTTACAAAAATTTATTTCAACGGTCAATATGATTTTTGTATATAAATCGATTTTTACAGTTTAATAAATTTAATTTGGCATTTCACTTTTAGCTATGCATTTAGGAGCCTCCAAAAAATTTTAAAATATAGAAAAAAAAAAAGATGATAGGGTGATATAACCTGGTTGTTGTTTATAACCCAGGTACGTACATACGTACGTGCGACTGTATAAATCATAGGAATTGACGATGTTAGTAGCAATACTTAAGCAGAATTTTCATTTCCACTTAAGCACAGAACTTTGATTTATACCCTGCGATCTTGATATAGTAACTATATAGGGTATAAGCTATATAGAGTATTATAACAAATTAAAAATATAGTATAAACTATCATATGTCATCGTTCAAACGCGTGAATGTGCTCATTTTTGTTACAAAAAAAAAAATTCAAATTACGTTTTTGATATGATCTTCATGATGATCTTCATGATGATTATGCAGGCTTAGCGTTAGTCAATTCTTTATGTATATGAATTTCGGGAAATTTAAGAAGAGATGCATAAAAAAAGTCACTATTTTTTAGTCGAAATGCATCAAAACCGCAATTTTTATATCACTTTGCATGTACAGTACACTAAAGGTCCTCCGCTACGCTCCGGATGACATCTACTTTAAATCAATTATTATTAAGGTGCCATCTATACTATATTTTATCCAAATTTCGAATTTATTTTTGAATATTTTTAAAGAGACCGAAAATGCCAGGTTTAAGCAAACTCTGTTTACTCTATTTATATTGTTTTAATGAATATCTGAAGTTGGTTTTGGCATTTACGCCTACAAACACAGTATGGGGGCATAATGCTGCCCTTGTTGGCTCTAAAATATACTATACAGGTGGTGTGATTCCAAATGGAACGATTTGGAAGGATGTTAAAGATTTTGGTAACACACCAAATCAATATGCCACACAATCTAAAGAATTTTATTATCTAGATGTATCAGTTCCTTTTAAAATAAACGAAGCTATAACATCTTGGGTAGATCTTAGTTCAGTGTCAATTATTCCATCACATTCCTGGAGTGCATTTTCGCTTTGCGGATCCGAAAATAGTACTTTGGTAATGTTTGGTGGCGATTTTGGGAAAACAACTCCTGCAAACTTGGTTTTTACTTACAATGCAAAAACACTACAATGGAGCAATCCAGTAACCCCTGGTCAACCTCCAAATAAACATACACGTTCGGTTTGTGACTTTAAAACCGGAAAAATGTATATGTTTTCTGGAACTCTTAACACAGTAAATGCTTCCATGGATATTTTTGATACAAAATCACTAGCGTGGGGAGTTGGCAGTTAAATTGGTGCACCATCGGGAAGGTTTGATTATACAGTTACTTTATTACCGAATGGTAACATAGTCTACATAGGCGGTGTAGATTCTCATGGTCCGGTAAATTTATTAACGGTAAGAATTAAATAAATGAATAAGTATCTCTGATTGTCATAATCACATTTTCTTTAAATTAAATTTAGATACCTTTATATAACATCAATGATAACACCTGGTCTTCAATGGTATGTTTTTTTATCGAAAAATTAATGTTAAGTTTCTACAATATTTAATTTATCGGTATTTGTATATCTATTAGACTACCACGGGTTATCTGCCTACACCTCGAGGACATCATTCATCTGTTTTAAGTAATAAAACTTCTTTTTATAACTTATGTTTTTCATACACGTAAAATATAACACTTTTTTATACCGTATATAATAGCGAAAGACGGTCGTATTATTGTATATGGAGGTTATATTTATCGAGGTACATTGGTTCCAGTTACGGACGATCTTGTAGTGTTAGATACAGAAGGATCTGTTTTTACTTGGTCAAAGGCAAATGTTTCTACTCTTTCACCGCCTTCACGTTGCTACCATTCGGCTACTATGGTTGATCATTATATGATCGTGGCATTTGGAAGAAATGATCTTTATCTACCATCATTGACAATGAATGAATGAAGTCTATATTTTAAATACAAGTGACAAATTTGATTACAAGTGGATTAATTAATTTAAACCTATTACTAAAAGTCCTATTAGTAATAACCCTGTTAATCCTATCAATAATGCTTTAATGGCATCGACCATTACTTTAGCATTTCTATTTGTTTTAGCAATTAGCTTATTAATTTTTTTATATTGTAAGAAAAATCAAAATATTTTACATATACCTGGCTCTAACAATCATTATTCCAGTATTCGATAAGCTATTATCATGTAATGTGGTCGCAATATGGGTGTTTTCAATAGAAACAGCCCATTTTTACATATATGATAACATATAAAAATTTTCAACTTAAAGTTCATTTTGTGAAATTTTTTATTATATAATTAGCTTTCGTGATATGTAGAAAACTTTTTATTGAGTGTATATCTATTCAAAAATCAAATAAAAAATTATCACATGATAAAACTGATAAAATAAACGATAAAACTAGTTACAACTATAGTTAAATATATTAGCAATCATTAGGATTATTAATGGATTGGGTTGAACTATTCTTCAGACCACTCCAACTTGGGTTGGTCACTCCGGAACCGCTCCAGATTTGCTTAAAGTTGCTCCAGCCCACTCCAGTTTCACTTCAGCATATCATTAACTCACTCCAGAGCTGATCTAGAGTATGCTACTCCATTAACAACTCTAGCAATCATTCGTACATTAATACTGGAGATTGATTAAAATAATTGAACTATGCTTTTATCAAATTACATTAAGTCAAACCAAATAGTTAACAATTCTTTAATTATTTCAATATTTCAAATAATGTTGATAATAATTCAATGGTTAATGATTGTTCAGTTTCTTCGATTAATAAAAAAGAAACTGATTCTGGTGTCGGCCTCGAACAGAAATATGGATATGACAACTATTCCGATTGATTTATCTTCAGGAACTAATATATTTAACACAAATAACATATCCGACGATGAAGAGTCTTCTATTTGAATTAGAATCTTTTTTTATAATCTCGAAGATATGTGCTTGGTGCTGGGAAAAGGAATGAAACTGACATAAAAAATTCTTCACAAAAAATTATTTACTCGTAACCTATCGATCAGAATTATATGATTTTTAGTACTGATACTAAAATCATGTAATTCGATCGATATATAATTTGGGAGGAATTATTTTTTGGTCAAATTCGTCCCTTTACCAGCACCAAACCAGGGACCTAAGAAAATTGCGAAAAGATTAGAAACCAATTTTTATTGGGTATCGCAATTTAAAACAATATTACGCCTTTCTTATGCTGTACGACAAAATCCACAAATTTGATTGGTTAACAATATTCTTACACCAATCACATTTGTATATTGGTGTAACTTCATGTGCACAAAAATTTTGATCTAAAAATGCACGACGGATCGGCAGTATCAAGAATTAAGAACGGGTATTCTTGTCACAAAAAATACATGTAGCTTCTAATTAATTAATAATTTAGCAAACAATAAACGAAGTCTTGAATTAAATTCATTACATTAAATTCATTACAAATGCTGCATTTTGATCAAAATTAAGTAAAATATTTAATATCGCAATAAAAAACATTTTTTGCTGTTACTCAAACCATTTTTTGCCGTTTTTAAAAACAATTTTCTTAGGTCCCTGCTTTGTACATTAAAAATCACGTGATGCATATAAATTACTACCTGGCTTTAAGGTGCAAATTATCTAATTACATCAAATCTGTGTTATTTAGGAGTTATAATTTCAGGTAACGGTGAAAGCTCAACCAATTAAACTTTATCTTGTCAATTATTGGTCTTAGAAAGTTTTGCTAAATTTTTCTTTAAGTTATATCTCTTCGATAAATAGGAAAATTTTACAAAAAAGAAATCGTGATTTTTGAGGACTAAAAGTTGCGATTTTGAAAAATTTTCATTGAGGCCTTACAATCTCGGATAACTTAGGATGATTTGCGTCATATTTTAATTTTAGGGGTTTCAGACTTAAGGTTCAGGTTTCTGATTTCGTATTAATTTAGTGACGGATTAATTTTATAATTCGTGATCTATAAATCCTATTCATTTTTATTTGCAAGCCTATTTATAATAAGATATAATTCATCATCAAAAAAGTTTTATTTTATCTCCGGATAGTTCTTTTTTTCATTTTCTGATTTCAAAATTTCAAAACAAAAATAGGACTCTTCAAACTCCCACTAATTTTCAAAATACGTTAATTCTGAAGCCCCCAATTGTTAGGGTAGCATAAAATTGAGTGGAACATTTTACATTTTTTGTTAATTACACGATAAGGGGTAACGTTGATTCACAGGCCAAATTAAGAAATGGATTCCGATATGGTTTACAATTGATAAATACAATTTCCAAGTTTTGATTGGCTGGGATTATTCATGTCAATTTATATGTCACCTAATTAAAATGTGACATCTCAATTAAGGTTTGGGTTAGGGTTGGTGACATTATTGCAAGGAATTTTTTTTTAGCGCATAAAAGATGATTTTTTAAGCGAAATTTTGCGAAAAGTGTCGATTAATCGATTAGTTGATCGAGTTGGCAACTAATCGATTGACTCTTGCAAATACGATTTTAATCATTGACCAACTAATCAACTAATCGATTTCCAACTTGACGATTAATTGATTATCTAATTATTCGATTATTTGATTAGTTTGCTAATCTATTAGTTGTCTACATGTATATATGCACTGGCCGCTATAAATATAGCATATGCACTTTTTACGCAAAAAATTAATTCTATCAAATTTACTAAGTATTCGAAAGTAGTTGATTGAACTAATACATTTATTTGATTCAGAATTTAATTAAGTAGATTTGAATTCAAAATCAACAGTTAATCGATATAATATATGTTCGATTAAGAATTTACTTATTTATTCAGAGTTAAAAGCTTATTAGAGCTAGCCCAAATACAAAAGTGAATGTAAAATAATTATTGCAGATGAAAGTTCCAATTTGTATGGGTATCATTATACGGTAGCCACTCATTTCCTTTACAGGTCATTTGCCCAACATCACATGTGGTTTGGGTTAGTATTTGGTTAGTTGCAAATTGTCACGATAATTTTGTTACGTAACTAAAAAATTGGCATAATCACGTGGTGGGAATATAATGAATGTATAAATAAATAAATGAATAATAAAATGAGAGGAATAGTAGAGGGAGAAAAGAAATAAAAATAGGAGAACGGAGAAAGAGTAGATAGAAGTTAGAAGTTATAGTTATGGGTTAAAGAAATAACTTACAATTCAATAAATATAATTATTATACTTTCCTTAAAGCTCAACTAAGAATCCCTTAGTAAAATACTCATACACGACATATGCAATGCTTATTTATCGCTTTTCCAATTCTGGGAATTACATATTGTTAGTAACCGCGTGATGCCGGGTAAATAGCCTGTAGAGAAAAAAACATAGCCGTAACTCATATAGGCCGTTCGAAGTTAATTTCTCGGTTAACATCACCCCTCCCCCCTCCCCTTTGATGCCCCCGGTAAAACGAACATATAAAAAAAGTAAAATTTAAAAATACCGTATAACCACGAAATAACACAATGGGGTGTGGTTTCGAATTTCGGCCTAAATTAGGCTTAATTCAGGCCGAAATTCGAAATAACTTCCCATGCACTATATTGCAGTTATACGGTAAATATAAAATAAATACCGTAAAATCTCTAAAGAATCTTGGCCCGAATTAAGCTTAATTCGGGCCGAAAATTATAATTTCGCCCCTGTGCGTTATTTCGAGATTTTACGGTAATTCAAAAAATTAAATTAAACCGAATTAAAAAATAAATAAAAAATAGAGAAAAAAAAATAAATAATAAGAAGAGAAAAAAAAATAAATAATAAAAAATAAAGCCAAAATTTTAGTTCCTATTCTCATATATGTTTATTTCAGTTTGTGATAAAACGATTCAAGAAAAACTGCTGAAAAAATAGCTTCCAAGTGATATTTTATTCAATTGTATTTAAATAAACATTTAACTTTCATGGAAACAACAATTACAAACCAATTATTTGATCGATACTTTTTTACATTAATTTTTAAGCCATCCGATTAGTGATTTATTTCGGGACAAAATTTGTATTCGACCAATACAGCAATAGGCCAAAATTCCGATCTGTGATCGCTGCCACTGCATGATGCAGATCCGATCACTAGATCACGGGAGTTTTGGCTGTAAAATTGTACGTACGAAGTTCTTTTTCTCGGATGAATGCATTATAAAATTATTTATTTATTTATTTGTTTTTGTTTCTCACTTTTATAATAGGAATGTAATGTTGACTACTGAATCAAATCTATCTGACCTAATTAGCAACTCAACTAGAATCCCTAGACTAAAATTTAGCTTGAAGTCAGTTCGTTATAATAGATTTACTACATTAAAAATAGGTTGTTCATTTTATATGTTCATTTCATTTGCCCCCTCTCCGAAAGTCCTGAAAAGTGATGTTAACCGAAAAATTAACTTCAAACGGCCTTAAGTGTAATTATATATGGTGACATACGTGATCGTCTCGTCTGTATTCGAACTCGTGCCCATAAATTATTCGAATGCCATCCAGTGTTTCGGTTTCGCCCAAAATCAGAAACCTCTGAACATCCTTCCAAACTCTGTCTTTCGGAAATTTAGGAACTTTCCTCTATTTTTCTCTCCACCTTGCTCGTATTTTACATTCTTTGATATTCTACTCGGAATATTTCGGAAAGTTCAATTTTAGAGGTATTGACTAGTTTCGCCCAATTTCGGAGGTTTCGCCCGATTTCAGAGGTTTCGCCCAGTTTCAGAGGTTTCGGAAGCTTCGGATTTGGGACTTCTGGCGAAACTATGTTTCGGAGGTTTCGGATTTGGGACTTCTGGCAAAACTATGTTTCAGAGGTTTCGAATTTGGGCCTTCTGGCGAAACTATGTTTCGGAGGTTTCGGATTTGGAACTTCTGGCGAAACTATGTTTCAGAGG